TTTCCCCATAAGTCCCACTGATTTACATGCAAGTTATGCACTCGTACTGGTGGGAGTGTGTGTGGATCCCATCATCTTATCCCCTTTGGTAAAGAGGGCCAAGGGGTGGAGACCGTGTGTATGTGTGTGGGAGTGAGAGGCTTGTTGTTTAAAAGTTGATGTTTTAGAACTTCAGGGCTAGAAAATAACATTTAATACAGTTAAACAGTAGCAGCCTTCCCACCATCCATTAATTGGTCCATGCCAGTCTGTTTAAATCCCCAAATGTAAATGCAGCTGCCATACATCAGAGTTTGGTGGCCAAAGCTAGGCTCAGCAGGTGGATAGGGTTTTTGTTATTAACTGTTACTTTCACTGACGCAGTGGCATTTGGTATTAGGTACATTTATTGTTCTTCAGGTGATGGGGAAAGTGCCAACCATTTCGATTAACAAGACAGAAGGCTGCCACATATACCTCAGTGAAGATTCATTAGACTGTGAGATTGTGAGTGCCAAGTCATCTGAAATGAACATTCTCATCCCCCTAAATGGAGATTACGTAAGTGGAATATTTTTAAAGACTCAGTTTTTCTCCCTCTTTTAATCTGTGTAGTGATTAGCCTTTCATATTACGAGGCAAGTAGGAGTTAAAGTGCCACAATTTCCCCCCCCCCCCCAGCAAGGTCTGATTCAAACCACAGAAATAAACCCTCTTTCATATACCAATAGTCTCAGCTACAATCCATCAAAGAACACCTTTTCCTGGGGTGCAAAGTAATTCTGTACATTAAAAGAGCCGTTATCTCCTTCCGTTGTGATGGAAAATAATTCAGTGTCTCCTATGTCACTTTAGTCTCTGGCCTGTGTGAAACAGATCTCTAACTTCAGTTTTCTGCCACATATTATAAGAACATCAACTCAAAGGTCAAGAAATGCCAGTGTTAAGGTCAACATCATCACATATTAATTCTCAAATAATACAGTGTATTTTTAAATACAAGCTTTTGGTACGTGTATAGTTTCTTGTAGTACTTTCTGCGCATGCCAGACAGAGTCCAGGAAAGCATCCGATGAAGTGAGCTGTAGCTCATGAAAGCTCATGCTCAAATAAATTGGTTAGTCTCTAAGGTGCCACAAGTCCTCCTTTTCTTTCATACATTACATACATATGATTACATCTTACATACATATGATTCATACATAAGGGGCACGTTACCTGAAGCAAGGGCTCTGACTCTTCTACTGAGGTTCTCATACTATCCTTAGGACTGCAGTATCTCAGCACCTCCTGTGAAGCTGTTCCTCATTCACTGCATGCAATACAGTAGCAGGATATCATATAATTAGGCTGTGTTGTAATACATACACAGAAAGGGGCAGGGTTAAAGTTGTGTATGCAACTTTACTGAGGGCTTAACCAGGCTACCTTAACTTTCTCTTAATATTTTTGTGCGGGAATTTCATTGGGGAGTTTTTTGTTAATTAAAAAAAAAAAAAGCCTAAATGTTCAGCAGTGACTAGTGGTCCTGGGTGCCCAACTTCCAACACCTTAAAAGGGCCTCATTTTCAGAGGACGGTTGCTAAGCACTTTCTGAAAATCAGGCCCCTTTGAACATGTCTCGAGCTGGGTACCCAAAATCACTAGTCATTTAAGAAAATATAAGTCTACTGCAGGGTCTGAGGAAAGGAGCCCTCTCTTCCACATCTTAGGAGCATCACACAATTTTTACCCTACAAGGTGTGCAGCACCTGAGGCCAGGGATCCAGCAGAGTTCACAGGTGCACACTGAATGAGCTAAGGACTCCCGTGAAGTCCTGCAACATTGACTGTACATAGTGTGTCTTTTGGAATGCTTCACTGTTAAAGTGGTAATGTGACAGTGTTTTTGTTAACATGCACCTTTGTTCATCCACCTAAGACTGGTGAACAATTATCTTGAGATCTGAGATTACATCTGCCACCAAATTCTGGGGATTGACCATGGATTTTGCCTGTAGGATATCACTTTTCTCTTTAAAATTCCTGTTAGTCTTGTTACTACCTTACCAAGTTTACTGGTATTTACCAGGTTTTCTTTTCTACATTCCCATCCAGTTAGCTTGACTGCCTGCTAATGGAGTCCATAGTCTTTTTTGAAACAAGTTATATTGATGTAGTTTGCCCAAATAATGAGGAAAGGGGGCTGTTACAAACTAGCACATGAACAAAGCTAAGTGAATTATGGTAATAATGAGCTTGTTTTCTGTGTGACATTGAAACAGTTTCCTGCGCGTAATGAAGAAGGCCTCTTTGTAATCCAGGCATGTCTGAGTTATAAATGCCTTGTCAATCATGCAGCACTAATAGTATTCCATCAGTTTTTATAAGATATCCACTGTTTATCTAACAATCATTGTTGCTCTTTCCATTTACCAGAAAGAATTTCCTGTTCCTGAACAGTTTAAGACAGCATGGGATGGATCTAAGTTGGTCACTGAACCTGCAGAGATTGTAGGTTAACTTCCTAATGCCATACAGCACCCGCTGACCACGATCTCAGACCAAGGTCAGCCTAAATAAAACAGCAACATAAAGAACTAGAAGTAACAGTAGCTTATACTGCTGTAGTAGGTCTTCAAACAGCAGCTCTGTACACTAGAAACAATGACATGTCTGGCACGCTTTTATTAGGCATTCTGATATTTTTAAAGTTTCCACACAGTTTGCGTTCATTTACGGTTTTGATTCTACATGATGTCATGTGAACATAAGGGATTTTTTAAAAAAAATACTCCATTCGCGTTATTGGCTATTACACTGCACACAATAAGCCAAAATATTGCATGATATATATACTTTGTTATAATCATGTTTCAGTGCATTCCTTTTCATGTTTCTGCTAGTCAAAAATAATCTTAAAATAGTTAAAATGTTTATTTTACCTTTTAGACAATTCATGTATGATGCGGTGAACATGTACCTTTAGGAAATGTGTGATTCTTGTAGATCTGTTCTAATAATCATGGGGATTTTTAAGACACAAAAGTACAATTTTCAGCAATACATTTTGCCAGTGGAATATAAAAACAGGATATTTTAATCAAACATTTTTCTAATATGTATATGTAGAGTATCCCTCAGCTTTCAGTTTACACAGACCTGTTGTATCCCTTTTGGTTGTAAATTATTAATCCTAATATCTTCTAGAAAACGTTATTTAATGTTCAGCATATCATCTGAAGGTTTTTCACTTCTCTGATTTCTTTTGTGTTCCTTTATTTGGGGTTGGGGGGGCAGGAATTGGGTTTTTTTGTTTTTCTTCACACAGTACTGCACAGCCTGCTCTAAAAACTGAGGGCAGGTCTACACCAGTGGTTCTCAAACTTTTGTACTGGTGACCCTTTTCACACAGCAAGCCTCTGAGTGTGACCCCCCCTTATAAATTAAAAACACTTTTAATTATATTTAACACCATTGTAAATGCTGGAGGCAAAGCGGGGTTTAGGGTGGAGGCTGACAGCTCGCAATCCCCCCATGTAATAACCTCACGACCGACCCCCAGTTTGAGAACCCCTGGTCTACAATACATCCAGGATCATTGCTCTGAGATCGATCCACTGGTGGTCAATTTAGCGAAGACCCGCCAAATCAACAGCAGATCGCTCTGCAGTCAACCCCTGTACTCTACCACCAATGAGAAGAGTAAGGTAAGTTGATGGGAGAGTTTCTTCTGTTGAAACCCCACCCCCGCAGTGTAGACCCCACAGTAACTTGACCTAAGGTACGTTGACTGCAGCTACGTTATTCACGTAGCTGGAGTTGCGTAGCGTAGGTCGATTTTCCATGGTAGTGTAGACATAGCCTGAGATAGGGTTGTTTTATGATTTGGGCACATGCTAAGTGTCAGGTGCCCTATAACTGGTTTCCTTGCTGATTTTGGTTCTCTAAAGTATTCTATTGTATAAGCTGTCTGTTGGGGATGTAATCCCAGGGTTTTGCTTGGTTTTTTTAGTCACTTGCAAGATTTGCATACTAATCTTCAAATATGTCCATAAATAAAAGCCATAGATGTATTCCATATGAATTCTGAACCCAAATTAAAGGGACTCTTTCTTGTTTAAGACCCTTGATTCTATGTTACAGTTCTTATTTACGTGCTTTTTCAACACTAAGGTGGCGTGTGCTATACATTTTACGATTTCAGCGTGTAGTACTCAAGATTCAGCATACATTTTTGATCACTTGTAATCCTTTGTAAGAGTGAATTCATGGTTATATGCTTGCAAAGCTAGTTACAGGATATACATTGTGCCTCCTGCACCTTTTCAGAATACATCAATTCCTTCAGGTTTAAGGTATCTGATTGTACTGCAACCAATAGTGCTCACACAATAAGGTTTTATTATCTGATGTTTTATCTGTATGTATAATGTTGTGGCTTTAGTACATAGCATTTTTTAACGGTAAACCTATTCTGAAATAAAAAAAAGGAGTCTGTACTTGGTTTAAATACAGCGAGTTCAGAGTGCACTTCATTTAAGTGTTTTCATCCATTTTCCTAAATGCCATTTCAAAAGGTCTGAATGAGGGGAGGCAGCTCTTACTCCCTGCAGTTGACCGACTGTCTCTTGTACATCATATCCCACCCACCCTCCTCCCAGAGAATAGCTTGGATATAATGTATTAGTGATAATGGGCAGACTTGCAGTTTCCAAATTAAAGCCTTAGTGGCAACCACAGAACTTCAGAGGCCCTTACTTTAAATAATTGCAATATATAACATCACTCTCTCTTTTTGGAGCACCTGTATGTGCTGTAGGGTATATCCTGGAAATGACCATGTTCAAGTGGGAGTCACTGAAACTTTGTTTCTAGTCTCAGCTCTGCCACTAACTCACTGTGGGCCCTTGGGCATGACCCTTTTGGTCGGATTGTCAGAGGTGCACAGCATAGCACCATCCACTAGTTGTGCAATGTATTTCACCTGGATGTAGAGCACATACCTAAAGGAACGGGTAGCCGGTGTAGGTCATGACCGAACAGTTTATTAACATTAATTACACTAATAATTCCTGCAGTAAAACAATCATACATTGGAACATTCTAAACCTGAGCCACTGACTTCTCTTCTAATACTGCATCTGATAGTGATATTATATATGTCATCACTCAGCAATGTGATGCCAACCAACCCTTTGGACTGCTGAAGCAAAACAAGTGTTGAATACTCAATAACAACAGGAAGCAGATATACAGCTCTGACTTATAGTAGGCAGGCAAATAATTTCAAAATATCCCAATGAGGAACCAGGATACTGATTCTCCCCTGAAATAAGTGGCAGTTTGAGGGGCAGTATACTTGTATGACTTTTCTCCTAAATATTTGCAGGGAAAACACCACTGTGGTACAGCTTTCTCCCTGTGGATTATGTTCCTGCAAATGGTTTACAAATATTGCAGAAAAGGCACTTCTAAGAAATTATCATATTAACTGTTGATATCAGATACATGTGTCCTTGCTACACTTTTTTAAAAGTGCAGTTTAGCTTCCTTGCCATGCACTGTCATGTAGGATGGGCTGCCCCCTGCCCTACAACGGAAACCCATCTTTAATGTATCTACGGGACATGAAAGAAGAGGATCTTTTTTTAAAAAATCCCAGCTTCTGACTCCACTTAATACACATCTGTGCATAGTTGCCTCTAAAGAATAATCCTCTACTGAAAATCATATATAAAATCATGTTGGTCAAGATATGTAGATGCCTACATCCTTCAGGCATTTTGCATAATGACGATCTGATGAACTGTGCCAACTTTAATCGATTGTCTGCAGGTTTGATCTACACTTAATGCCTTCCCCTGTTCTGTTGCAGCCCTAATGTGTGAAGATTGTTGTGTATTATCATGTACCGATTCCAGCGATCTGTGTCCAAGTCACACTCTCATTGTGCTTTTCTGCCCCAAAATTGTGGTTATTCTCCAAACTAATTGTTGCACCAATTTAAATTGTACAGCATCACACTAGCTAGAACCCACTTGGGTGCATACAATGATCTTGAGAGAACAATTATTTAAACATGTGTGCTATCTGTGGGGATAATTGTGGCACCTAGGACAGTTATCACCTTTTTGAAGAAGAATTACACAATCAATTCATCTGATGAAGTGAGCTGTAGCTCACGAAAGCTTATGCTCAAATAAATTTGTTAGGCTCTAAGGTGCCACAAGTCCTCCTTTTCTTTTTGCAGATACAGACTAACACGGCTGCTACTCTAAAACAATCAACGTAGTGTGATTTTCATGAAGTTTTGTACCCACATAAATATTGGAAATAATGCAGGGAACAGGCCCTTTTGAACTTTAAAGCCTTTATTCTCAATGTTGTCATTCTCTGTATATTTTTGTTTGTTAATGGAAAGAGATGGGAGTTATCAGGTGGCCAAAATAGCAGCTTTTAGTTTTAGTGGCTGAAGAGTTGTAGCTTTATGAGTGAAGAGTCAGCCTTGTATCCAAGGTAATAAATACAGGATACAAGGTTGTATCTTCTAAACACATCTCAACTTCTTTTCATCAGTGTAATTATAGATAAATGTAACTATTATCATTTTACTCCTAGAGACAATATCTAGACTCTGGAACCACAGGTTAAAATCCTTCTGGCATCACTTCCGCCCTTTATCTTTCCAAGGTGTATAAACTGAGCACCATAAGTCATTTACTGTATGTCCTTCTTTATTATGATCATACCTTCCCTGACGGCCTGTCCGCTTTGCATGGATCTTAGAGATCCTAGGACACTTTCCACAACATTAGGGGGTCGCTTCATTGTTCTTAGCCAAAAGTGTCCCTTCTCCACACTGTTGTGCTGTTTGTTCGCTGGCCGCTGCCAGCCACACCAAAGGTGACTGCATTTCAGTGATACTGTATGTATGTGGCCAAAAGGACACGTGCAATGTGTGTTGCCAAATAATGAAAATAATTACTGCAGAATACAAAGTTCGCATGTAATGATGTTAGAATGATCGAGTTTGTAGAAAGCCACAAAATAATAAAGGTTTCATACTGTGGGGCAACATCCCATATCCCGTATGAAGTTCATCACCCTTTGTTGACACTACGGGTTTGTCTACACTGGCACTTTACAGCGCTGCAACTTTCTCGCTTAGGGGCGTGAAAAAACACCTCCCTGAGCGCTGCAGGTTTCAGCGCTGCAAGGCGCCAGTGTAGACAGTGCCCCAGCGCTGGGAGCTGCGCCCCTCGCGAGGTGGGAGCTGTGCCGCGAATACACAGCTGCAGCACTTTAACGTTGCCAGTGTAGACCAGCCCTTAGCCTTTGTCTCTACTGCCTTGCACTTTGTGTAGTATTTGGGCCTACAGAGCCTGCTCTTGCCAAATTAAAAACATGAGTTTTTCCATGGATTTTAATGGCATCAGGATCAGACCTTAAGGGATATGCAGTTCTAGAAATAATCCCAACATTATATAATAGAATCTGGGCCAATTTTTGATACGGACTGATGACAGGATATATCCCTGAAAGCAGAAACTCAGGTAGTAAATACAGTAATTCCCCAACCGTTATCAAGAAATGGTGAATTGGCCCTTTGTTTCATATTATCTTAAAAAGGAAACTGTAAAAATCCTGATTTATTTAATCATACTTGTCATTAAAAATATAGGAAAACATAAGAGATTGTAAGTATTGAGGTACTGACCCTATATATCCACCAGGTGGCAGAAAACTATTGTGGTGCAAGAAAATCCAAGCTGTTTTGGTAATCAGACAATGTAGGAACTATACTATTTATACAGAATACATGTACTAATTTAGAATTGCAGCTAATCCAGGAATTAGGAAAGTTTACACTCCAAAAACGAGGCCAAATTTACATTGTTAAAAACAAGAAAAGATTATTTGATTCTGAAAATGATCGTTTGAGTAAATCCAGAGGGTTTTTTTTTTTATTTGTTTAGAAAGTGTCGGGGAGGGAAAGAACATCCAGGTCTAGGTGTCAGTGAATAAGTCAGCTCATCTATTTTTAGCTGTCCTTCTATAATAATCATTTTAAAAACACACGCAACAGGAAATACCTAGTTGGCTTAAAACACTGAAATCTAGTGAGCAGGGTTATTGAAGAAGGTGACAGAGGAAATAATTTGAAATACAGAAATCTTTCCAGTGTGTTCAACCAAAACATTCATGTTATTATTAATTGTTAAGTGTGGTCAGAGTGCTCGGCTTTGTACAAGTCACAGTCCATGCCCTGTAGAACTTGCATCCAGTATTTGATTTAGTGCCATTGTATTATACACATATCCCAGAAATACCTACACCTGAAACCCCAAATTCTACTCCCAAACATCAGCCCATATCATGTAGTCAATGGAGATCTCCAGCCTAAGAGCTAAATAGCCTACATAAGTGAAATGCTGATGCCATTGACTTCAGTGGAGCCACGATTTCTCTCTATATCCCTTGCACCTCCAGAGGGTGGGGATGACTGGAAGATCCACATGGTGGTAGAAAGACTCTGTGACTATCAGTCCAGCCTCTAATGCCCTCTGGTTACTTAGAGGGGTGAGGGGAAAAGGTGTAGAGCAGTGTTTCCCAAACTTGGGACGCAGCTTGTTCAGGGAAAGCCCCTGGTGGGCCAGGCTGGTTTGTTTACCTGCCGCTTCCACAGGTTCGGCTGATCGTGGCTCCCACTGGCCACGGTTCGCCACTCCAGGCCAATGGGGGCTGCGGGAAGAGGCATGGGCCAAGGGACTTCCATTCCTTAGCTACTGCAGCCCTGAGAAACTGAGAGCTTTCCTCTAGTTCTCAGCTCTAGAGAAGAAAATAATAAGCTGTTAAAGGCCGTCCCCTCCTAAATTCCAGCCAGTTACACCTATGTAAAACCCCTGAGGGCAATGGGATTGCAAAGGTGTCACTGAGGGCATACCTGAAGCCTGGAAGATTTCACAGATGTAACTGGAGGTCTAATTTGGCCTTCAGAACTCTTTATGCCAGTGGTAATGCCCAGGAAGGAAAGAACTAAGTTGGACTTCTGGAGGCTAGTTGAATTTGCAGGGCTGGAAGTTAGAAAACCTATTTAAAGCAAAATTTTAAAAAAGTACAGTTAATATAAAAATCAGTGAAAGGTAATGAACAAGGAGCCCCATGATACCAATTTTACAGTCCCTTTACAGAATAGATCTCCACTTAAGGATTAATAAACATTTTAAAATAAATCTGTTTTTCAGGATCTCTTAAAAAATCCCTGGGCTTGCCATAGTCATTCAGCAGCAGAGCAACTCTCTATTGTAAGAGTTTCTGATCCCACGGTCTTTCTTCCAAAATGTTATCTTACATGAATCACACTGTACAGTTCTCATTTGCTCACCCTTCTTTACCTCCTTTCTTATCTTTTCTCCTTTCCCTCTCTCAGTGATTAAAGTGCACTGGGTTAGAGGCCCAGAAATAAAATTTCTAAAACTCAAGCAGAGGTGACATTTCAGCCCTACCTGGGGCAAAAAATACCCTGCTTTCCTCTCTTGCCCATCTCCTGGGGCCAGTCAATCAGAGCTGCTGCAGGAAACAAGCTGTGCTCTCCCCCCTTCTTCTCAAGAGCCAAAGCCCTTCTCAATGGAGGGAGCACAAAAAACTCAGGGTAGCTCCACTCCCTCCTTCCCTCCTGTGAACCATAGGATGGTTCATGGACCCCCACCCCACCCCCAAATGGTTTGGAATGGAAAGTGTGTGGGGGTGGAGACCCCGGAGCTGCCCCCCGCAGCTTGGAAAGGGGAGAGGGGACCCCAGTGCAGCCCCTGAGTCGGGGGGGGCAAAGAACCCCAAGAGCTGCAGGACCAGAGATGAGGCAAGGTGGGAGGAGACCTGATGTGAAGTGTTGGAGGGACAGAACTGATGAGCTGCAGAGACAGGCCGATGTGATACCGCTTTCAGTTCTGTAGAAAATGATAGATCCACCCAAACACTTTTTTCAGTCCACTTTATGAACTACCCTCTTCTCGTATCTTTCCCCACTTATGCCAAACGTTGCAGTATAAGAAGGTCTCAATTCATCTGCTTAATCTGATCTCTAATTTTGGTCTGGTCTATATTAGAAAACATGCACTAGTGTGGATCTTCCTACTACAGATGTGCTTACACTGATTTAGCTAACGTCTGTCCCACTCAGTTAAATCAGTTTAAGCATGATTTAAATGTCTTTCAATCCATCTGTATTAGGGGCTTGCAACAAAGTAACTAGATTGGCTTCAAAATCAATATGGTTTAATCCCTGTGAGGTTTGTTTTGTCTTTCTAATATAGACAGTTATTTCTCCAATGTTGCTGAGCACCATAGCTTGGCAGCAAGGGGAAGATGTACTGCCGCCAGCCCTGTTGAAGGTGGATCTTCAGAGGAAAGCCATCACTTCCTACTGAAGAGTGGCTGTGGTGCTCAGCAGCATCTGGAAACCAGCAAAGTAGTTTAAAAATGTAAAGTTAATTTTAGACAGCTGAGTTGAAAGCTGCTGTAAGGCTCCCAATTTAGTTTCTTACACTTCCAAGTTTTGCAAAGAGAGAAGAGGGAGACAGAAAAGATGAGAGGCCGAGGTCTCAAGGCAAAAAGATACTGTCTGACTTAGATACCATGAAAAGAAAAGGAGTACTTGTGGCACCTTAGAGACTAACCTATTTATCTGAGCATAAGCTTTCGTGAGCTACAGCTGATGAAGTGAGCTGTAGCTCACGAAAGCTTATGCTCAAATAAATTGGTTAGTCTCTAAGGTGCCACAAGTCCTCCTTTTCTTTTTGCGAATACAGACTAACACGGCTGCTACTCTGAAACCTGTCATTAGATACCATGGTGACAAGTGCCTTAGAAACAACTAGGATACATAGAAAAATGGCAACTTTTAACTACCTCCCATCCTCCTGAGCCTTGACGCCTCTAGCTAATTCTGTGTCCTCTAGTTAATTTCAGTTTAGAAAATGCAACTGCAAACCTAATTCCGTTTTCACAATAGAAAGTGATTTGAAAGTAGCCAGAGGCCACAAACAAGCTGAAAGCACAGATGGGCAAGAACAACAAAGAAAATTAAATTTATCCAGCTACATCTGCTCAGAAATGTAGGGTAGGGTGAGAGCACATTTTAATCATGTCAGTAGATTTATTGGCATGACAAGGTAACTGTTGGTAAGACTGATTCATCAGTAATGTCGACCAAATTCAGAGGAAAGTTTATGGGAAGCTTAAGTGGTAACTGTCCCCTTAGCACATCTGTTACACCAGCTTAAACTCAGTTCTGAATTCAGAATGGAATTTCAGCATGGTAATGGGGTTTGTACAAAAGCTCCACTCTATCTTTTACACCCCATGTAACACCACTGACTTCAGTAGAATTGCATGGGTGTGATGGAGGACAGCATTGGGATGAAAATAACTTAAATTATAGGAACAATGAAACCAAGACATGTTGCTTATCAACAGAGCTACAAACATGCAGAGCCCTAATGTCTCATGCATTGACTAAAGAAACTTGTTAATTAAGGAATACAGCTGAAGGCCTTTGGGAATGAAGGGTTTGTCTACACGTGTTTCAGCTGGAGGTTTATATTCTCACATTAAAAAAAAAAATCTTTGTGCACATGGTCTCTGTGGTTTGCCATGCAGGCAGCCCCGGAACCAGGAGGTCATTTGAGAAGATATTAAAGCAGCTTAGACTACGAAGTTGTCTCTCTCAAAAACTCTTAATACTAAGACATTTAATAAAGAAATCAGTACTCAACTACACAGATTTCTGTTGAGAAATCTTTCAGCAATGCTCTCACCATCACATTTGCTGCTCTCTGGGATCTCATCAGCATTAGTGGCATTAGTTTGTTATCTTAAATGATTTACTGTGGAAATTCCTGGGGTCATTTCCCTGCACCTTTAGCTGCTGGAGTACTGATCCCTACATAGACCCATCAGACAAACAGACTACCCCACTGAGTGAAATGTGTTAAGACTCACATGAACTGTCACCAAGTACAGAATCAGTGACCATAATCTAGAGGCAGAAAGCAGGAGGCACAAGCAGTCTAAACCTAGTGGGGAGCAGAGACACACTTTTTACTCATGGAGGATAGGTCCATCAATGGCTATTAGCCAAGATGGTCAGGAACAGAACCCCATGCTCTGGGCGTCCCTAGCCTCTGACTGCCAGAAGCTGGGAGTGGACAGGATCAATCACTGGATTATTGCTGTCATAAACATACAGCTCAGGGTAGCATAAAATCCCTCCTTTACCTGTAAGGGGTTAAGAAGCTCAAATAACCTGGTTGGCATCTGACCAAAAGGACCAAGAAGAAAAGAAGATACTTTCAAATCTTGGGAGGAGGTTTTGTTTGTGCTCTCTTTGTTTGTTCTCTCTCTGGACGAGAGAGGGACCAGGCAGGAAAAAACATCTCCTAAAAACCTACCTGAAATAAGCATTTAAGATTACAAAAATTGTAAGTAAAGGCAAGGAAATGTGTTAGATTATCTTTTGTTTTAGCTTGTGAATTTTCCCTATGCTAAAAGGTCATTTCATTCCTGTTTTGTAACTGGAAGGCAGAGTCAGAGGAGAATCCTCTGTGTTTTAAATCTTTTTATTTACTCCTAAAGTTACCTTCCATCCTCATTTTATAGGTGTGATTCTTTTACTTTTTTCTTTTAAATAACATTCTTCTTTTAAGAACCTGATTGATTTTCAGTGTCCTAAAAACCCAGGGGTTTGGTCTGTGCTCACTTTGTAACCAATTGGTTAGTATATTATTTTCAAGCCTCCTCAGGAAAGGGGGTGAAGAGACTTGGGGGAATATTTTGGGGAAACAGAGACTCCAAGTGGCCCTCTTTCCTGGATTTTTATCTAAATCACTTGGTGGTGGCAGCAATACTGTCCAAGGACAAGGAAAGGATTTGTGCCTTGAGGAAGTTTTAATGTGAGGTGGTAGAAATAAGCTTAGGGGGTCTTTTATGCGGGTCCCCACATCTGTACCCCAGAGTTCAGAGTGGGGAGGGAACCCTGACAATTGCCCTTTTCTGTTCATTGCCTCTAAAGCACCTGGCACTGGCCACTGTCAGAAGACAGGATACTGGGCTAGACAGACCATTGATCTGACCCACTATGGCCGTTCTTATGTACTCACTAGGTGGAAGCGCAAGAAGGGTATTTTTCTCAAATGAGCAGACACTATTAAGGACTTCTCCTCAAAAAGCAATGAGGCCAAACTGGAAAAAGGAGAGAGAAAGCTGACGTAGCCACCTGCACCTGCCTCGGGACCAGAAAGGGTCAGCAATGACAAAAGGACACAGGTGACAAAACCCACTCCCAAGCAGATCCGACCCACCTCTGACAGCAGCAGTGGCAGGGGGCGTTAGGGGGTAGGAGTTGCGGGAAATCTTTCTCTTCTTTGCCACCAGGTGGGCAGGGCAGTCTCCTGGGGGCTCTGTTACTCTGAAACGTTTTTGGGGGTGATTTCCCTAGACCCACCTACCCCTGGTGACACTGAAATGCTCACAACTAGGAGTCCGGGGGCACCTTAAAAGACTACCAGATTTATTTGGGCATAAACTTTCGTGGGTTATGCCCAAATAAAGCTGTTCGTCTTGGAGGTGCCCCCGGACTCCTTGTTGTTTTTGTGGGTACAGACGACCACGGCTACCCCCTGCTACTCAGAATTAGGAACCGTCCTCCCAGCCGGGTCACCTGATTTAGGGGCGGCCCCGTTGCACTGAACCTGGGCGGATGGAAAGGGGGGTCCCTGCAGCGCAAAGGCAGGCCCCGCCCCCTTGCAATTCCATTCCCGGGACTCTGCGGTCCCGAGCTCCCGCCTTAGCCGCTCAACCCTGGGCCATACCATCTCACCTCGGCGGCGGGGGGGAAGAGCTCTTCAGCTTGTCTCATGCCGCCCCCCCCCCTCTTGGCGGCTGGATGGGCTGGAGCGGGTCCCCGCGCCTGCGCAGTCGGGGAGCGGGGTCAGGGAGCGGGTGTGCGTCACAGGGAAGGCGGAGGAGGAGGGGACGGGTTATGGCGGAGGTCGCGGCAGCCCCGGGCGAGCCCGAGCCGGCAGGGGCCGAGGGCTCCGAGGCCAAGGCGCTGAGCGCGGGGGAGTACGCGCGGCGCGTGCACCAGTGGCTCTGGGACTCGTACTGCGGCTACTGGAGCTGGCAGAGCAGCCTCCCCGCGCTGCTGGCCGCCGCCGCCCCCTACGGCAGCCCGGGCCCGCCCGCCGCCGGCTGCCCCCCGCCGCCGCCGCCCGCCTACTACGGCCCCTGCTACCTCCTCGCCGCCCCCGCCGCGCCGGGACCCCGCGCGCCGCCCGCCTGGCCGGGAGCCGCCCGCCTGGCCGCGGTGCCCCGGCCCGGCCCCGCCGCCAGCAGCGCCCCGAGGGGGAGCGGGCGGCCGGCAGGTGAGACTGGCGGGGAGGGGGGGCGGGCCGTGGCTGGCGAGAGACCCCGGCCGAGGGGCAGGCTCGGGGGCAGCTGGGGAAGGAGTCTCCTAACTCGTGTCCGACTCAGGCAGGTGGCCCCGGCTGGGTCTCTGAGCTGACTGGCCGGGGCGTCCTGCGGGTGCCTGTCTTCCCCCGTGCCGCCTCTCCCACTCCTGGTCTCCAGGCGGACTTCGGACCGGGCTTGTCTGTGATGGGGCTTTGCTGTTATGAATTAGGTGGGTGAGGCGATATCCTTGACTGGGCTGACTTCTGTTAGGGACAGAGCCCTTCTTCGGGTCTAATATTTAGCATTTTATATTTTCGAAGCATAGCGTTGTGGTTGGCCTGGGAGTGGGAGCTTCTGTATTTCATACCAGGCCCTGCCACTGGTTTGTGGTGTGTAGGCAAACTTAATCTCTGTGCTTCAGTTTCTTCATTTTACTGTAGGGGAACTATGACTGATGAGGTTTAGGAGCTAAGGTTGTAATGCTTCTCAAAATCCTCAAAGAGCTTTATAGAAGCACCAGTGTTGTTGGGATTGTTTAATGCCTCTGAACTTGAGTGTATGACACCCCCTTTAGCTGCCTAATGAAAGAAATGGTGGTGATTCAAGTACTAAATAAAATCATTTTATTATTGAATCAACAATTTTATTCTCTTCAGAAATCAGTACAGTAATGTACTATGCCAGAGGATAATGTGTGGAATAATGGATAGTTGGTATTTTGTGTTTCACTGGCATCTGAAAGTGACTTTGAAGACCAAGGATAGTTGTGACCAATGTTCCCTCTAATTTTTGACAGGCCGTGTGCGCAAAAAATTTCTTCTGTGCAAATTGTTGTGCTTTTGTGCAAATTTTTGTGCTCGTGGTGTTTCGCTGTGTGCGCGGGGTTTAGGATCTGTGTGTGCGTGCACAGTTTAGAGGGAACAGTGGTTGTGACCACAGTCAAAATTTCATGGAAGCAATAAAATAATTCTTCTTAATTCAGCATAGACAGTTATCCTCAAATAATAGCATGTGCAGTATTATATTAGTAGCACCATCCATGTTAATAGATTTTGGAATTCTAAGATACTTTAACAAGTCTGTCATATTTAAATCCGCCTTAACGCTTACCTTCCATCTTAACCAGTTGTTGCTGCATTTAATATATTAGTGTGGCTGTAGTCGGGAGAATAAAATCAGAGGTTCCATATCACTAACTTTCATATTAAACATTCTCATATTAGAAAGTTGACTTGATTTCTACCTTCTGGCACTGCATGCTCAACCTGGTGTGAGGAAGTCCAGCTGTGTTCTTCACATTCTTGCCTCATCTTTGGTTAAAGATTGTACAATTAGGATTTATTCGACAGTTGTGACAATGCAAGAATGGGAATTGAATCTGTTTTGCTATTTTTTAGCATTAATGAGACTGAATTTGTCAGTGAGGTAAGCAGATATAAAAGGAAGATGCACAGAAACAAATATTAAGACGGTGCCCCTCTTACCTAATGGCTCTTCTAACTGTATTTGCCTTTTAAAAACAAGAACACAGAGGCGGAGAGCTTTGTGCTGCTCTCAAGCAATTTGTTGAGGCTAGTTTTCAGAGTGCCATTTGTGCAGCTTCTGTGGATGCCTTGTGAAGATGCCTTTTTTGGTAGGAGAGGTTATTGTGCGGGGAAGAAGTGGAATAGTAAAGGGTTCCTTCTCCCTTCCAAAATATACTTGTGTGAATTTTAACAAGGTTATATTAAGTCAGGTGCATGAGTATATTTAAATTGTAATTGTTAGAATATTAGTTTCATACAAAAAAGAAAAGGAGTACTTGTGGCACCTTAGGGACTAACAAATTTATTTGAGCATAAGCTTTCATGAGCTACAGCTCACTTCATCGGATGCATTCATACAGGCGCTCCTGTAAGTGCTGCTGAGGAAATACAATGCGGAGAATCAGCCTAGCCACAATTCTTTTATATGGCACTTTTCCTTTTGGTTTAAAAAAAAAAAAAAAGAAAAAGAAAAAGCTTGCTTGTATTATTACTACCACCACCTGAGATTATTAAGACCATTTTAAAAATGATTGCATTTCTTTCACCAGGGCCAGTTAAACCAGAGTAGCCACTTTCATTTTCCTGTTCTCTCATGGTAGCGTAACCTGCTATGTCTGCATAGGAATGCTTGTCTAGTTCTCGTGAAGTTTAAAAAAATAGACAACTTCTTGGTCTTTAATTGTCTTTTTTTTAAAAAAAAAATAAAAATTTGGGGGCCAAGAGTGGCTAGGCATTTAGGACACCTGTCTTGAGATATCTAAAAGGACCCTCCTTGATTTTCACAGGGCTGGTGCTCAGTTCTTTCTGAAGTCTTTCTCTAAAGTGGAATGAGTGAGTGGTGGGAAGGAGGCAGTTTTAATACCAGATAAAAAATTGAACTTCAGGAAAACATTCTATATCAAGTTCCTTCTAAATATCATAATAGAAGGCAAAAATGATACACTACAAAAAGTAAGCTGTTCAAGGGTGTAATATGTGACTCAGACAGAGCAGGGAGGGGATGGGATTAGGAAGAGCAACAGCAAAGATATGTTACTTGGTTTAGGTACATGCTTAGTTAACTTGTCATCCAATTCCCATTGTATCAAAGTACATTTTAAGGAGGTAATTGAATAAAAAGGATATGAGCTTCCATGGGTCAGAATAAGGATTTTTAAATGTTCCCTGCAGTGGGACAATGTGGAATACCATTTTAATATTGCCTCTTATTCTGCATAGTGCAAACTAATGTACATTCAGGTTTAAGTTATAAATTGCTTTAGCACAGTAAAATTTTAGGTAATTAACTATTTTTGTTACAGGTCGGGAATACATTATCCCATCCTTGGCACACAGGTTTATAGCAGAGATGGTGGATTTCTTTATTCTTTTCTTTATAAAGGCAACCATTGTCTTAAGTATTATGCATCTCAGTGGAATAAAGTAAGTTAAACCATTTAAGGCATTATTATATAAAGCTTTTCACTCTTGTGATTGAATATTATATATATATTGTGTATTTTGGAGTAGCTAGGGTTACACAGAGGAGAAGCACTTGATGGAACCTTAATTGATAAGAGGCTCCTTTCAAACTTATTTTGTCTTTTAAAAATAGATCTTTATTAAAGTGATGCATTATACAGGTGTGCATATTATAAAAAGTTACTGTAGATGCCTAGAAATGCTTTCAAATGTTAACTTTTTTTTGTTAAATAAGCGTAATAGTTGGCACTCACAGTTTGTTTAAAAATGAAATTTCTGAGTATGAGCAGTTGGGAAAACACTTTAAACTAGCTTGTACTTTTAAAAGAGACTATTAGGATTTTTCAAAAATCTCTTATGCCGTGTTTAGAAAAACTTTGAAGGCTGATATATTTGAAGGTTTTTTCCTGCATCAGTTGTTCTACACAAATTCCACGGTCTTTGGTGTGGAATTTTTATTTATTTATTTTAAAGAAAAAGGCTAAGTAGCATTTACTAAATGAAACACTTGTTTGCAATTCTTTAGTATGGGTAGGAGGTAAGATAAGTCAGATGTGGAACCTGTCAACCTTGACTGTTCTCTTTGCTCCTTGTATAAAATGTAATTTTAAATGCTACTTGAGAACATGTTGCATGAGAACATTCATAGATTATAAAGTCAGAAGAGACCACTGGGATCATCTAGCACGACCTGAAATAATTCATGTTTGAACTGGAAAAAACAACAAATCTTGATTTAAAAATTGTCAGTGATGGAGAATCCACTTTGGCCCTTGGTAAGTTCCAATGATGGTTACCTTTGCTGTTTAAAAACTTGTCCCTTGTGCCTTCTAGTCTGAATTGTCTAGCTTCAGCTATTAGATCTTGTTATACCTTTGCTAGATTGAAGAGCCCTCTATTGAATTTGTTTCTCATGTAGGTAGTTATAGACTGATCAAGTCACCTGTTAACCTTCTCTTGGTTAAGCTAAAAGATTCAGCTCCTTGAGCCTTTCACTATAAGGCATGTTTTCCAATCATTTAATAATTCTCATGGCTCTTCTCTGACCCTCTCCAATTTATTCTGAATTGTGGGTATCAGAACTGAAAATAGTATTCCAGTGGGTGTTGTACCAGTGTCAAATAGAGATAATACAGTCTCCCTAATCCTACTAGAGATTCCTTTGGCTATACGTCCAAGGATTGCATTAACCCTTTTGGCCACTGCATTTCACCTGGACCTCATGTTCAGCTATTGATCATCCATCAAGATCTCCAAGTCCTGGCTCATAATAAAAAGGAGGAAAGGGATGACTCTTCCCCTTGTGTGGAAAGGTCTGCTTTCTTTTCCCTGATGAGCATCTACATGAACTTGCAGTATCACTACAAAGGTACTGGCACTGGAAGATCGGTCCAAAGTTGGTGCCAAATGAGGAGTAGGTGCTCAGATGGGTTTTTCCTGCATCATTGCCAAGACTTTTAGAATCTCAGTAGACAGTGATGGTTTGGTCTTCCATGCCACTTCTGATTTAGCTGCTACTAACAATGCTGG